ACAAATTAGGACAATTAGAACAAGGCATACAAGACTTAATGGGATCAAATATGCCCGAAATTATTTACAAATTATTTTTTACAAAGTATTTTTACAAAGTAATTTTTACAAATTATTATTATTTAAATTATTTTACAAATTATAACGATAAATATAAATAAAAACATATAACGATAATGATAACGAAGAAAATTTTTGTTTATATAATATGCATATTTCTACCAATCGGAATAGAAAGGATAAAGTTCGGGCTATCCGTAGCTTAACAAAAGTTAATAAAATATACCCCGAAAATTATTTTAAGATATTTAGCCGGTGGGGAGTTAACACATAATAATTTTTTTAAGATACGTATGTAAGTACGTACTACGTCGGTTATTAATGATTAATCCAGTCGTTTACACCGAAAAAAGATAACTCTGCGTAAATGTTTACACAAATAAATTTAACTTTAGAACCGAAAGTGACCTAAATCCTTGTTTACTAAGTTAAAAAATGATTAAAAAAATGATTAAAATCAGGTTCTAATAAAAAAATGGTAAATTTTGATTATCATAACAAATTAAAGTAATTTACCACGTTTGAATTAAACTTTTTTTTCTTTAAGAAAACCTTTGGATTTTTTTGTAACTTTAGAATTAGATTTCGTACTACCAAAAGAAAAAACTGTAAAAAATAACGCTATTACTGAATCAGTAATGAATTAGTAATAAAAAGGGGGTACAAAATAAATCTGTACCGAATATATTGATATACAGGTATACAGCATGTATATGGGTAAATAACAAGTTCGAATTTTTTTTTAAATCATATCGTTTAACGTTAATGTTTAAAAAAAAAAAAACGGATTTTGTAAATAACAGGTTTTATGGCACGGCAATAACATTTTAAAATTTTAGATCTTTTTTTTTTTTTTATCCATAAAAGAAATCTTTACATCTACAAATTTGGAAAGTGAGATTTTTTTTTTCGCTGTACGTACGTATGTAGATTAAAGCACTGACAAATTTTTTGTGATTGACATACGGACGTACGTACCAGGTATGTATTTAAGGTATGATATACTTAACAGTACTTACAGTTAAGGTATGATATACTTAACAGTACTTACAGTTAAGGTATGTACAATAAATAAGACGTAAGTACATATGTACACACCTATGTTAACATATATGAAAATTTGGAATTGCAGAATTATGTATGGGTATGGAAAAATGAGATATTATTTGTAATAAAGTACAAATAATAACATTACGGAAAATTTTGAAATCAGAAATTTTAACAAGTAGTAAGTAGTAATTTTATAATTACTTGAGCTTGGAATTTTCTAATGAGAAAAGAAATACATTTTTTTTTGATGAAGAAAGGTCAGCAGTGCAGTTGTGAACAAAACAAGATGGTAAGCTGTATTAGTATGTATCTCTCTTGGTGGTAAATTAATTTTTAATGATACGTTTAGTCATCTGATTTTATAATTTTGATAATGTTTACTTTATTAATAAATTTGTTGTTCCTTATAATGGAGTACAAAAAAATACAAATATTCTTGTATAGGAATATATTTCAGTAAATGAGAACACAAGTCAAAGGCGTAAATATATATATAAATATCACAAGATTAATGTTAGATCGTAAACAAATTTTAATGAATATTTTTAAAAAAATTCTATCTTGAAAAATTTTAAAAATTTTAATAAGTCTAATTTAAGTTTATTTTAAAATTGATCAAAAATTTACGGATCATGTTTTTTTTTTTAAAGAGATTAAGTATTCGTCGTTTATTGGAGTATTTTAAAATACGCGTTTATGTATGTAAATATTGTAGGGTGTGGTGTGTAAATATTGTAAATATTGTAAATATTGTAAATATTGTAAATATTGTAAATATTGTAAATATTGTAGGGTGTGGTAATAAATACTGTAGTATATATTGTAATATGTATCGTAATATCAGATATGTATCGTAGTATGTACTGTACACATACTTATGTACTTATTTGCCATTAATGTATGATTCAAAAGAGTCTAGTATCTAGTTAAACTCGTATTATGTAAATCAAAACCGCATGTGAGCACGAAAAAATTAATAATTTGAAGATCGTCTTTGAAGGATCTACGTAGAATTCTACGGAAGCAATGAATCGACAGAAGCGGCAGAAGCGATAGAAGCGATGGAAACGATGGAAGTAATGGAAGTGATAGAAGCGTGAAAAAAATAAAACATGAAAAAATAAAAACATGAGTATACATTATATATGCTATATGTATTAATATACATATTATTTAACGTAATTAATTATATCGTTATTTTTTAATATTCGGTGACCATGTTTATACAGTATGTAAATGAGTAACATTTTCTTTGATGCAATAGTTAAACGCGTACTTAAACCAGAATGGTAATTTTTAATAATAAGCCTAAAAAAAGAAATTTGTTTAAGTTGTCATTTCATTCATAACTATCACGGTACTTACAGTACGTGATTACTTACGTATGTATTATTATCTTTTGATAAAAAAGATACGCACAGATGTAAAATATTTATTTATGGAATTTATGGAATGATTAGTGATATCATTTTAACGTAGCGGATGATATGCATATTTATTTATCCATGTCTCACTGTTTATTATATTCTTTTGCGCAATTAGAATTTTTGTTATATCATTAATAAATATAGGTATATTAAGAATTAAGGTTGAGAATTTTGTTTTTTTCTAAATTCTAAAAGATTTACGTACGTATGTGTCACGAGAGTCCCTTAGGTTACTTTCTTTTCCTGGTAATCTATCAAAAATAAAAATAATAATAAAAAAAAATAATAATAATAAAGAAGTAAAAAATATAAAATAAAAAAATAAAATAGAATTAAACTAATGATAATAAATAAAAAAAAAAATTGTATCACTATTCTTAAAACTATTTCATTTATACGATTTTATATATCGTTGGCACCGTGTTTCAGAGTCACAATTGGATGATTGCGGGAATTGGTTAATGATTCCTGCAAGTCTACAAGGAGATGAGATACCATATAGGATTAAATTTTTTTTTTCCTTTACGCCTGATTAGGTCATTTTAAAGGTTAATCAGAGATTTGTTAGCGATGAAACTTGATTTTTTTTTTTCATTGCATTGATCTGCTGACCAGATAAATGAGTTACCATTAACAACCATCTAACATTGTGAACATTATGCTAAATGTATTATATATGTAAGGGTTAGATTAATTATTTGATTTATTATCGTTATATGTTAGGTATTTTTTTTTTTTGTATGGGTATTTCGGAAATTATCATATTGCTCGGCTCGTTACTATGTGGCTGATCAATGATCTTATAGGTTTGACGTGATACGTATTACTGTATTATCGGTTATGTATGTACATACATACGCACGATGAACATATGAATCCGCGGATAAAAATATTAAAGTAAACGAATGATATCTTTTCGTTATTAGACTTTTTAAGTTTTTTAGTACTTTGATATGTAGGTTTAATTTTAACTTTCATGGATAACAAAAAAAATCATGTTTTATTTCTTGTTACAGTACAACAAAATTGTAATATTGCTTTGTAGATCATTCGGGTTGAACCATGTTTAAATTATACCTTACATACTTACATACTGTACACTTACATACTATACGCTTACGTGCTCTACACTTACGTACTCTACACACGTACTTTACACTAACAACACATACTCTACTTTACATACATACTCTACAACACATGCTCTACGACTTACCATACGATATACTATACGAAAAAAGTTTTTTTATTAAACGCAGTTATTAAAGGAGATTTTTAAGGAAGTTTTTAAAGAAAATTTTGGAAATCAACCAACAAAAGATACTTAACAACAAAAGATACAGTATCGACAAATAAAAAGACAGGAATTTTATTAGTGAGCATAACAAAATTTTCAGGAGTTAACACGATGTCTCTTGTTCTTCCTTTTTGTTAATTAATACATATTTATATTCATCTTTTTTTTTCTTAGTTAATAAACAATTTTGGTATTATAAACAATTTTGGTATTATAAACAATTTTGGTATTATAAACAATTTTGGTATTATAAACAATTTTGGTATTAACGAATAAATGAATATGTAATAGTGTAATAACTAATATAGTGTAAATTTTATAAGGTGCAAAGTAACTTAATGTACAAAGTTCGATCAATGTGTAATCTACAAAAAAGATAACATGTCTAAAAAAAAATAAGTATTAATAACATTGTTGCTTAATTAGGGTAACAATCAGTTTCCTTTTTGATCCATCAAAAAAAAAAAAAAAAGGCTTATATATCTAATGGCTGATGAGATTACCTTGTTTAGGTTACCGTTACATATTTTTTTTTTTATATACTCTTTATTTTAAAACAAAGCTGTAGCTTCTACTAAACTAACTATAGTCGAAAAAAAAAATTTTTTTTTATTTGATCAAATAAGATATATATAGACTGAAAAAATTTCACAAATTTTCGATTTGTTTTTCGACAGTTCAGTTTTTCAATTTAACGTCTCCCTTAAAGTCCGTCAGTGTTTATTTAGATATAATACTAGATACACTACGCTAAGATTTTTAATAATAGTTTGAAAGAAAAACAAAAATTAAAAATCTTAACATACATGACGACTAACTAACGACACAAAGTGAAAAAAAAAAAAATACTAATAATCAATAAAAAAAAACCAAAAAAAAAAAAAAAAACCTTGATTTGATTGATTCATATATCAAGTATATATTTATCATTCAACGATTATAAAAGTTATAATATACACTTTACATTTTTTAAACCAAATAACGACATCTGTTAAATATTCACTGTCAAATAACGCAATATATAATATATATATATTAATACACTATAGATTTTTTATTTTTTAAAAAGATTCCGAGAATCTATTTTTTTTATTATATAAAAAAATTTTCCATCACAGCTTTTTTTTTTGTACAAACTTTATTCAAAACATTTATATACAAAAATAATGGGCTTGCGAGCTATAAGAAAACGAGTTGTATTGCCTATGTATAAGGCTACAGACCATACTCCGTCGGTTTATTATGATCGTTTTTCAAATAGATTGATACCTGTAGGATACTTTCTTAACAACCTTGATGAAATCGGACCAGCTCACTGGAATAACGCTCAAACCGCTGATTATTCTTTAAAAATAATTAAACCTCAAGAGGTTGATTATTTTTGTAATTACTTTAATCAAATTTGTCAAAGTAACAATATATTAAATAGAAATTTAAATAGTTTAAATTGTATAGTTAGAAATAATCGGATAACTAATCAAAACATTTCACAAAATATTTCACAAAATATTTCGCAACAATATGAATGTCAAACTTCAGAAAATTTTGAATGGCAAGAACACTTACCAGATTGTCAATCAACCTTACCTGTCGTCTGTAGTGACAAATTTTGTTCAGCTGCTGACGCCGCTGCTTTAACTCTTTATTTTAATGCAGCATTACTTAATTATCAACAAATGATGAATAATTTTCAACAACGTTATGATGAACAAATTAATAATAGTGGAATTCCATCTCCGCCTTCGTCTCCAATAGTAGATTCACATCATTCAAATTCAATTAATAATTCATCTACAAATATGTCATCCATTCAAAAATTATCACCACCTCCTGATTCACCTCCTGATTATTACTTTCATATACATATTTTGATATTGGCTACTCAAAGTGGATTTTTTAATCAAATATTTGGTCCGATAAATCTTCATTCTTCTTCTTCACAATTACCCGATACATTATATGTACCAATACCTTATCCTGAATGTTTTGAAACCATATTACATTGGTTATATCATCATGACGATGATGCTTGGTTAGATGTTATAACTGAAGAAAATTTTGAAAAATTTTATTGGAATATAAAATTTTTAAAATTGGGTAAAGAAGCTTATGACGTATTGGATGAGTGGCTCGATGAGTGTCTAGAAGACGGTCTTAGCCTCGATTGTTTTGAAAATACAGAGATTATTCAAGATTGGTGAAAAAAATTCATTTAAATTAAAATTGGAAAAATCTAAACACCGCAAAATCACTCAAGTTTCGATGAACAGTCTTATTTTTATCGGATAAATTGTTAATCGGATGAATTAAAGACTAAAAAAAAATCAACAAAAAAAAAATCAAAAAAAAATTTTTGGAAATCACAAACACCGTTAAAAAGATCGAAGTTCGATCTATGCTATATGTATGCTATTGCGGATTCTGAAATAATGCATGTAACCGAAGTACTAGCATTGAATTCAAAATATGTTTACGAAAAAGAAATCGAAAAAAAAATTAACTCTCAAACACTAACATTAACACTAACACTACTGATTATTACTGAAGACCAAGACAAAAAAGAACAAGCACGATTATAATATTTTCTCTAAGCCAAGCCATACATAGTTGAATATCCTTAAGCATATATAAACATCACTATCACTCACTCACTCTGAATCGTTTATATATAGTGTACCGACCCTTTTTGGAACACATGCCTTTGGAATTTGTTCAAATTTATTTTTCAAAAAAAACACCCCTACGATGCATCATATTTATTATTTATTTTTATTTTCTTTTATGTTTATACATATATTTTTTTTTCTTTTTAATAAATTTTTTTTTTTTCTTTTTATTGTACAAGTCATTCAAATCATTTACACTTTTTTCTTATGTACCAAATTTTTATCGTTTAAGATTTTGTTTTTTTTTTAAAAAAAAAAACAAGTTTCAATACTCAAAAAAATGTATAAATAAAATTTTTTTTTTTTTATTCTGAAAAGAATAATAAAATTGCCAAAATAAAATATATAATATATATTTATATATATTTATATAAATATCATTGAATACCTAAAAACTTTAAAAAAAAACCAAAATTTTGAACCCGAACTACGTACTCATTGTATGCTAATATTATAAATATAATAAACTATATAACTATATAATTCATGAATAAAGACCAAAATAAAGACCAAAATTATGAGCTAAACTTACAATATATTAGACGGACATATATTTCCGAATCCGGATGTTCTCCGATCAGGATTTTATATTCGGATAAGTTCTGGGATCTAAAGTTTAACCATTTTTGTTTACTACTCATTTATAGAAAAAAAAACTTTTTTATATCGCGTCAACGCCAATCATATCATAAAAAATTATAAACATAAAAATTTTATATACGTACTAAAACACTTTAATAAGTAATAACTTTCCTTGTTAATCATAATAATCATAAAATTTGGAAAGTATCATGAGATTTATTCATTTGTAAACCTAGTAAGGAATGGATTATGATAAATGATTGTTTTTTTTTTAAAAAAAAGATTCGTTTCAAGAATTACTTTTTATTTTTGGTTTGAATGAAAACTCCTTATAAGACAGGTTTGTTTTCCTGCGACATCATTTAAAAAATATATATATATATAAAAAAAAACAAGATTATCAAAATGAAATAATTATTTTCGTAAATCTATATAAAGTTCTTGTTCGCCGAAATTAGTAGCTGTCAAAACACTTATTCAAAAAAAATTACATAATAAAAAATCATGAGATCTACCATTATTTCAATGTACGTACGTATGTACGATATTATTATATATATAATAAAACAGATAATGACGATAATAATAATAGTAATAAATAATAACAGATAATTATTGTAATAATTGTAATGATTGTACGTACGTAATAATAATAATAATAATAATAATAACGATAATAAAACAGTAATAATTAATTAATTTTAAACACTACGTATCTGTTATCGATACTTACGGACGGACGCACGTACGAGTTTTACTATACTATAATACTGTAATAAATAACAAGTCACGGAATTACAATAAGAATATGGTTAAGTTTTTTTGCACAAAATCTAAAGTTTATCGGTTCTTGAAACCCTAAAAAGGAAAGTCAATATCCGTTTGGAATAATTATCCGTTAAAATTTATGAACCAATTACGTTATTAAAACTTTTTATGATCTCATTTTTAATCATTTATATTTTTTCACGTGATACCGTAAGTTCTAAAAGTTCTAAAAGTTCTAAACACACTAATATCATTATCGTTATGGGATGTTTCCTATCATTATTATTGTATTACTGTATTACTGTCTATTTCCAATAAATTTTATACTTTTTAGTAGCGGTAGTCATAAAGTCAAAAGAGCTAACTATAAAACTTTGTCGAAAAAACATTCTATATTTGGAACAGCAATACAATAAATACATCAATACATCAATACATCAATACATCAATACAGCAATACAACAGCAATACTGTCTGTAATTGACTAAATTTTTCTTTAAGCCTTGTAGTCTTGTAGTCTTGTAGTCTCGTGAGTTACATCCCCTTAGTGTTAGTAGTAACATAAAGTACTACGTAACAGTAACAGCAATAATAAATGCCATTATTTCATTATTACATTACACAAAAGGAAATTATGGCGTAATAGTGTCATTACTGGTCATTGTAAATAAAAATCATTAAAAAAAAAGTTCTTTCTTTTTTAACACTCTTGAATTTTTCTTTAACAAAAGTACTATCTATTTATGTACTGTTTTTTCACATACATACATCGCATTGCATTACGTCGCGGTTAAAAATATTAATATATACGTATATATACATACGTATGTAAAAAAACAACCGAATTTGATCTAATTTTTTCATTAAACAAAGAAATGTCACATTGTTCTTAAACTTTTTATATTGAAAATTTTTTCTTTATTTTTTTTAGGCAAATTCCAAATTAGCTAATTAATGATCACAATTTGCCTTATTACCATTTGTTTATTTTGATCTTTGTACTTGCATGAACATAAAATTAAATAGAAAAGCGGGGAACTTTTTAAAGCCTATCATTTACAATAGTTACAATATTTACAATATTTACAATGAACCTTTTTACCTGACTTATTTGGGGAACAAAAGAAAAACTAAAAAGTTTTACCTTTTTATCGTTCTTTAATTAGATGTTTTGTACCGACTTTCCTTCAATTGACTTACCTTGGTTTAGATTAATCTTTCGGTGATTTCCGAATGATACGAATCTTGGTCCCTAACTTTAGTAAATCTTTTCTAAAAACGTATAAACACACATCATCCTTTAACAAAGAACCGTTGATCTGAATTGCTTCTTCAAAAATTTATCTACTTTTGGTCACTCATGACGGACCCGTGGTGAGTCAGAATTGAACTGATCTTTGCAAATTTTGATTAACACCCCCACCCCTTCATAATTTACTAACACTAGTACAGTAGTAGATCAAAAATCATTACAAAAAGTCTTAATACTGTCAGTTAAAGTTACGATCTTTTATCCGTTTTCCTATTTTAAAATGTAACGGTTATCCGGATCTCATTCCTACTGTCTTTAAATTGTTGAATAAACTACTTTTGAGCTCATAATGCTTTCATTATATTCTATAAATATTTCATTTGAAGCATTTCAATCTTCGTATGATGTTTCTAAATTCACCCCTGAATAAAAAGTTTAAAAAAAAAAATCAATTACTATTTAAGTTTTGAATCATACAATTTGACATCTTTAAGCAGATAAGCTTCTACCATAAATTTGCATCATTTTAAGTATAAATTGGATTTTTGTAAAAAAGGTACACTTTAAAGGTAAGGCGATTTATTGAGTATAAACCTAAAAACAGGTGAATGACATACTCTAATTCCATGTCGATTGTCATTTCTAAAATTGGTGTATATATGCATTTACGAAAAATCAGGGCTAATTTATGTACTATATGAAACATCAAAAAAAATTATTTTTAACTCTTAAATAAAGCCGCCATTTCATTTTTCATTTTCATTTGAAAATTTCACCTGAAAATTAACAGCCGCAATAAGTTTTACTTACCAATTTGGTAATGATTTGTAATTGAGAACAATGTGAATTTTTTTTTTGTAAAACTATTGAATTTTCATTGTTACACTACTGAGGTATGTCACTAAAACAGAAATTTATGACATTTGAATGCAAATATCAAGCTTAAAATTAACGCGTTTAAATATCCTACGCCTAAATTTTTTGATTGTTAAATAATCATACCACTTTACTATTTTGATTTGAATGATTTTCTTGGAATTTTTGATATACACATATATGCGTACATGCTTATGTATAAAAGCATGATCTTTACTAATATAGTTTTTTTAAATGATTTCTTTAAGAAATTAATGTTGTTACATAACACTTTTCTAATGCACGCGCGTTAGTATAAGCTTTATTCACATGATTATTTATTCTCATACTACTATTACGTATACAGTATATACCTTTTAATAAAATTATATATATATATATTTACTTGATGTCCAAAGTTATACGTTTCTGTACGTACGTACGTACGTACTTTTCTGACAACCCCTGAAATTTATTATTTAATATGATACTAATTATATGTATTCATTTTACGTAAATGTCGACAATGGTTTTAAAAACAGTAACGCATATTTACAAATATATCATCTTATTTCTTTTGGCCATTATCCTTACTTACCATATATCGTAATTTGAAAAAAATTTTTTTTTTGATACAATACGTATAATTCACGTACAGCATATATATTTGCAACAATAATTAGTCGCGTTAAAATAAAAATACGTAATTATATTCTTACGTTTTTGGAAATTACGTAATTATCTTCCTTATATATATAATAAGTGAATTATACGTACGTAATAGTTAATCTAAGTTTTTATTTTGATTATATATAATTTATATTTATTATTAATTAATGAAAAATTTTTATACGTAATATATTTTAAATAACTTTAATTTATTACATAATATATAAATTTTTACGTATTACGTATTATTATTTTTATTTTTGTTTAATTGTTTTTACAGTATTATAGGTTTAATAAAACTTTTCTTCGTTAATCATTTCTCTACCCTAAATTAGGTCAAAACTAAATTGAGAAATAAACGCCTATTTAAGTTTGAAAAAATTATATACTTTACAGAAACTTGTAAAAA